ATTATTATTATTATTATTATTATTATTATTGTTATATTATATTATATTATTATTTTATTATTATATATATATTATTTTATTATTATTATTATTATTATTATTATTATTATTATTATTATTATTATTATTATTATTATTATTATTATTACTACTATTATTATGGATCATCGCACAGTCAGCCAGATGTTCAGACTGGATTTGGCATTTTTGTCTACCTATCGAGTCCTTCCCAAGGACCTGGGATAGGCAGATGTGGATGTTTGATGGTATTACAGATCTCGTCGCAGGATGGAAGCAGTTCCTAGTAAGGCCGCCTTTTGCAATTGACTGATGGTGAATTTGTCAATGCCAATGATGGTGTTCAAGTGGTGCTCCAGTTGTTTTGGGATTGCACCCAAGGCGCCTATTACTATTGGTACTACCTTTGCTTGCCTTTGCCACAGTCTCTCTATTTCTATTTGTAGGTCTTTGTATTTTGTTATCTTCTCCAGTTCTTTCTCGTCTATTCTGCTGTCTCCAGGCACTGCCACGTCCACTATCCAGACTTTTTTGTCTTTCTTATCGACAATTGTTCAGTCCGGGGTGTTATGTTGCAGGTGGTTGTCTGTTTGAATTCTGAAGTCCCAGAGCAGTTTAACTTTATCATTTTCTATGACTTTCTCTATTTTATGATCCCACCAGTTCTTGCTTACAGGCAAATGATATTTCTTGCAGATCTTCCAATGCACCATTGTTGCTACTTTGTCATGCCGCTGCTTGTAGTCATTATTATTGTTATTGTTGTTGTTGTTGTTGTTGTTGTTGTTGTTGTTGTTGTTGTTGTTATTATTATTATTATTATTATTATTATTATTATTATTATTATTATTATTATTATTATTATTACTACAACCCCTCTTTAACAATAGACTGGAAAATAACTCTTTGAGTTACAGACCTGATAACTGTCCCAGAAAACAAAAGCAACAGAACACTTTCCCTACGGAGGCCTTGTCCAAAAGCAAAACGGAGCACGAGTCAAACAGGCAATAACTCACAGGCAAAGTAGACAGACCATGATCTCTTGACACTGAAGTTCTTTGCAAACCGTTGCCTCCAGCAACCAGCCCTGCCCACACATTCCCTTTTTGTTACGCAGCCCCCAAGGCGTGGCTTCTCACTGCTTTCTCCTCTTCCCCTGGAGTCGCCCCATTACCTCCCTCTGGCCTACTCGTGTGACCTGCCTACGTTTACGAGCGTCTCTGAGGTCTTCCAGCTGTGCTTCCTCCGAGTCCGACTCAGCTTCCCAGCACAGCTTGATCACGAGTGGAAGGACCAGCCTCTTCATTAGTTTGTAAGTCCTGCAGCTCATCAGAGCCTCCCTCCAACTCTTATGGCTCTCCAGGCCCCTCCTCCTCCTCTGATTCCCCAGACTCAACTACCGGGAGCACAGGCTGGCCCGGAATCACAACACCATCCACCGCCAAGCCATGTCAGGGGAAAAAAATGGGGTTGAGGTACTCACGACCATGATTACACTAAGCTCAGAGAGCACCTAGGACCCTACAGTCCTCTTCCTCCTCCTCCTCTCTACAAACCTCACTTCCTTCCAGCCCTGATGATGTTCCCCAGTTGGGCAATGAAACGTCTGCAAGAAAAGCACCCAGCTCAGAGAGCACCAAGGAGCCCACAGCTCAGCCCTGAGCTACAGATATCCTGTACCTCATTCAGGGCGCACATCCGCGCGATGGAGCCAATGTTGTTGGTGATGGTGATCAAGGCTGCCCGGGCCAGATCTTCTTTACTAGCTGCGTCTCGTTTCTCTTTGCTCATCATGTTGCCAAAGCTGGATGGGAGAAGGGAGCAACAGGCAGTTTTTAGGTAAAGAGTTGAGCCACACCATGTCCACCACACCCACAAACACAGCCACACCGTCAAAGCACGAAGGGAACTCCGGCTGAAGCCTTTTAAAGCAGAGGTCCCCGACCTTTTGAGCACCAGGGACCGGTTCCGTGCGTGGTTTTGTGTGCTGCCTGCATCCCAAAGATGGGGCTCTGCTTGTTTGTGAGGACTGCATGCCACGGACCGGGGGGTTGGGGGACCCCCCTGTTTTAAAGACTCACTAATCGGAAGAACCTAATGCTGGGAAAGATGGAGGGCAAGAGAAGAAGGGGACGACAGAGAATGAGGTGGCTGGATGGAGTCCCTGAAGCAGGAGGCGTGAGCTTAAACAGACTCCAGAAGATGGTAGAAAAGGCCTGGAGGAACGTTGTCCGTGGGGTTGCGGTGGGTTGGATACGACTTCGCAACTAACAACAACAACAAATCAGAAGAAGCTAATCCAGCTGTCAACGCTGCTAACATCGGATGTTTTTGCTTTGACAACAGATGGAGATGTAGCCATTTTCTTCTTTTCCCTTTTAGAGTTAGATGATGCTCGGGAGGGGAAGGGAATGTACATGAGAGTCCAGCTAGACATAATAACCCTGAACCTAGCGTGAGAATCAAGGTTGCTGAAATAAGAGATGATAAGAATTGGTGGGCTGGAGGGAAAGCCTGCGTTCAAACTAATTGGGGAATGTGATTTATGACAGTTAATTGGAGGAGGGAATTGTGCTTTGATACTATATGCTCAGGGGAGAGGAACTCAGATCTTGGCTTCCACTGTGTTAGTGCCGATGCTATGCTTCTCGAATAAAGATTCTTTAAGATAAACGCCTCGAAGTTCTTTGAAGAGTTTCATCTGTCAGAACCGTGACACCAGCCATGAGGCTGGCTGGGAGAGTGCTACATCTGCCTCTGCTCAAAATCAATCTAAAACAGTCACTGCAAAGATTTCTGGATAAAATGGCGCCACCGCTGAACTCAAAACGTCAGGGGGAAAAATGAAAAGTATGAGACTCCTTCGAACCCCAATTTGAGAAGCAGAAAAAGGTCACAGCTGAAGCCCGCAAAAAAATGCCAGGAAGAGTCTAGACCAGGGGTGGGGAACCTTGGCTCTTTTATGACTCGTGAACTTCAACTCCCAGAATTCCTGAGCCAGCCATGCTGAGGGGAAAGGGAGAGGTTTCCATGCTGAGCCATGCTGGCTCAGGAATTCTGGGAGTTGAAGTCCACGAGTCATAAAAGAGCCAAGGTTGCCTACCACTGATCTATATATTTTTTTTTGTACATAGATAATCCTTTACTTATAGCCATTCGTTTAGCAACTGTTTCATTTAATGGCCATGGCAAAAAAAGTTCAAAACATTGGGTGCACCTCACTTAACAATGGAATTTCTGGTCCAATTGTGGTTGTAAGTCAGGCCTATTTATAATAATAATAATAATAAAGTTGGAAGGGACCTTGGAGGTCATCTAGTCCAACCCCCTGCTCAGGCAAGAAACCTTACACCATTTCAGACAAATGGCTGTCCAGTCGCTTCTTAAAAACTTCCAGTGTTGGAGCATTCACAGCTTCTGGAGGCAAGCAGTTCCACTGGTTAATTGTTCTAACTTTCTCCTTATTTCTAGGTTGCTTCTCTCTTTGGTTGCTTTCCATCTGTTGCTTCTTGTCCTGCCTTCAGGCGCTTTGGAGAATAGCTTGACTCCTTCCTCTTTGGGGCAGCCCCTGAGATACTGGAAGACTGCTATCATGTCCCCCCCCCCCCGTCCTTTTCATTAAATTAGACATCCCCAATTCCAGCAACCGTTCCTTGTACATTTATCCACATAACTGTTCAGCCAAACAAAGGGAAAACAACTTTAAAAAAAATCATATTACATTAAGCATCAAGCACTAGGAAGTGCCTGGCTGAGGAATTCTGGGAGTTGAAGTCCACAAGTCATAAAAGGGCCAAGTTTGAAGAGCCTTAGTCTAGACTAACAACCCGTAAGATTGCCCGGATGTGTTATGCTCTCAACTAAAACATCTTCAGAGGGCTTACCTGGATGCTATGGTCCAGCCGGGCAGCCCAAAGCGCTCGTAGTCCCCTCCGTAAATATCCCGCACTAGTTTGTCCACCTTCGTGCTGTCTCCGCGGGATGCCATGTCGAGAGCCTCTTCAAAGGTGGAGCAGCCGGTCAGCAGACAGCAGAGGCCGAAAAAAGTTCCCCCTCCAAGGCTAGGAAAGAAGACATAGCGATCAAGGCTGGTGAACACAGCAAGGGGACGTGAGGGAGAAGAATCTGCATTTGTTTTATTGATCAAATTTACTTGCTGCCCATCTTACGGTTCAGGCCACTTATGTCTTTGCCGCTTAGTCCTCGTTAGCTAATTCTGGATATCCTGGTCGCTGCTACGCATCTACCTAGTCAGCTTTGCACGAGGTGATGTGGACAGGAACAAACCGTTCTTGCAATTTCATCTCAAAAGCAGGCCAGGAAATAATTCATACTCTTTTAACAATTTCATTTTTTTTTAAGTTAAGTCCCATTACAGAAAAGGTAGTTTATTCCTATGTGTGCTCCTGATTTATATCCTGCCTTTGTTACATTTTAATAAGTAATCCAACACAGAATTAGTATAGAACAGAATAGAGCTGGAAGGGACCCTGGAGGTTTTCTAGTCCAGCCCCCTGCTCAAGCAGGAGAACCTAAACCATCTCAGACAAGTGACTGTCCAGTCTCTTCTTAAAGATCTCCAGTGATGGAGCACCCACAATTTCTGGTGGCAAGCTGTTCCACTGGTTGATTGTCCTCCCTGTTAGGAAGTTTCTCCTTAGTTTCTCTCTTTGATCAATTTCCAACTATTGTTTCTCGTCCTGCCCTCTGGTGCTTTGGTGAACAGACTGGCCCCCTCTGCCTTATGGCAGCCCCTCAGATACTGAAACACTGCTATCATGTCTCCCCTATTTCTTCTTTTCTTCAGACTAGCCCAGGGGTAGGCAACCTTGGCTCTTTTATGACTCGTGGACTTCAACTCCCAGAATTCCTGAGCCAGCATGGCTTAGCTTGGAAACCTCTCCCTTTCCCCTCAGCATGGCTGGCTCAGGAATTCTGGGAGTTGAAGTCCACAAGTCATAAAAGGGCCCAGGTTGCCTACCTCTGGCCTAGGCCGCTTTATGATTCGTGGACTTCAACTCCCAGAATTCCTGAGCCAGCCTGGCTCAGCTTGGAAACCTCTCCCTTTCCCCTCAGCATGGCTGGCTCAGGAATTCTGGGAGTTGAAGTCCACGAGTCATAAAAGAGCCAAGGTTGCCTACCCCTGGACTAGCCAAACCCGGGCTGTTGAGCCTCACCTGGTTCCCGTCACCCGCTTGTAATTGTCTTCGGAATAGACGGCCAGGATGCTGACCCCGGAGCCGATGTTCACCAGAAGGAGAGGGTAGGGGTTCTCCAAGTTGAAGGGGACCTTCTGGCATTTTTCGGGATCTGTGGGGTTCTCACAATAGTAGCACTCCGAGTGTCCGTTGAACCCCACCGAATCAATGTAGAGCACGCCCTTGATAAGGCAGTCAAGTTCGTCCATTTTGCGTAGCTGAAGGTCGCCCACCTGTTCGGAGAGACAAGCTTTGAAGAGAGAGAGAAAGAAAACACTGGAGGGGGCGGGGGGCTCATGGGGGGGGGAGGAAATCTTTCTGTAATAAACAGATCTACCCGACAGATTCCAATTCTACAAATACTACAGCCTGCGCCTTCCCCACTATTATCTCTACCAATAGAAACTGTTTATATTCATCTCTATTCATTTGGGTCAGTATGAACTACAGAGGCCCACTGATCGCGATCCAGTCTGCGGACAAATGTTTTTCTACTAGAGTTGGAAGGGACTTTGGAGGTCTTCTATTCCTATCCCCTGCTCAGGAGACCCTAGACCAGGAGTGTCAAACTCGCAATGTCACGCGACGTGTCACAACGTGTCGCGACTTTTTTTTCCATTGCCAGCAATGGGGTGGGCACGGTTTCGGCACTACGCATCCAGCCCGCCAGCTGGCAGTTTGACACCCCTGCCCTATACCATTTCAGACAAATGGCTGTCCAGTCTCTTCTTAAAAACTTCCATTGTTGGAGCATTCACCACTTCTGGAGGCAGGTGGTTCCACTGGTTGATTGTTCTCACTGTCAGGAAATTTCTCTTTAGTTCCAAGTTGCTTCTCTCCTGGATGAGTTTCCATCCGTTGTGTCTTATCTTGCCTTCAAGATGCTTTGGAGAATAGACCCCCCTCTTCTTTGTGGCAGCCCCTCACATATTGGAAGACTCCCACTATGACTCCCCCTAGTCCTTCTTTTTCATTGGGTTAGACCAGAATAAGCAACCTTGGCTTTTATAAAAGACTTGTGGACTTCGACTCCCAGAATTCCTGAGCCAGCATGGCTCAGCTTGGAAACCTCTCCCTTTCCCCTCAGCATGGCTGGTTCAGGAATTCTGGGTATTGAAGTCCACAAGTGATAAAAGAGCCAAGGTTGCCTACCCCTGGGCTAGACGTACCCAGTTCCTGTAACCATTCTTCATATGTTATCGCCTACGGCCCCTAATCATTTTGATTGCATCTTCTCTGCATTCTTTCTAGAGTCTCAACATCTTTTTTTGTATTGTGGTGACCAAACCTGGATGATCAACAGCGCTGCCCTTTAACCCCTGTGCAGCGCACTCTGACTGCATGACATCCTTGGCAAAAGAATGAGATGCGTTCATTGCCTAACGCAACCATCTATTCTGCTTTCAGGATAACAAGGAGAAAAACTCGGGAACCCGAACAGCTGGAAAGGTCCAAGGACTAGCTAACCCAAACACTAGGACACAGCTGGATGCACATCAAAAGCAAGGACCCACAAAGCAAATCTGTCCAGCTCAGGGGTAGACAACCTTGGCTCTTTTATGACTGGTGGACTTCAACTCCCAGAATTCCTGAGCCAGCCACGCTGAGGGGAAAGGGAGAGGTTTCCAAGCTGAGCCATGCCGGCTCAGGAATTCTGGGAGTTGAAGTCCACAAGTCATAAAGGGGCCTAGGCCTAGGCCAGAGGTAGGCAACCTTGGCTCTTTTATGACTCGTGGACTTCAACTCCCAGAATTCCTGAGCCAGCCATGCTGAGGGGAAAGGGAGAGGTTTCCAAGCTGAGCCATGCCGGCTCAGGAATTCTGGGAGTTGAAGTCCACGAGTCATAAAGGGGCCTAGGCCTAGGCCAGAAGTAGGCCACCTTGGCTCTTTTGTGATTCGTGGACTTCAACTCCCAGAATTCCTGAGCCAGCATGGCTCAGCTTGGAAACTTCTCCCTTTCCCCTCAGCATGGCTGGCTCAGGAATTCTGGGAGCTGAAGTCCATAAGTCTTAAAAGCTTGTCAAAGTTGCAGACCCCTGATTCAGACAGTATTTCCTAGAAATAAATCAAGTGGATTTACTGTAACATCGGCCCACAGTGGAATGGTAATCTAGGCTTCTTCCATGAAACGTATTATTTGCTCCCTCTTTATAGACTAGCTAAATTATTCGTGGGAGTGGGATCTCTGAGACCACCAGAATCAGACGATTTTAATTAAAAGTCTCTGCTTACAGGTAGTCCTTGACTTATGACCACAATTGAGTCCAATATTTATACCGCTAAGTGGGAGTTTTGCCCCATTTTACGACATTTCTTGCCCCGGAGGTTAAGCGAATCACTGCAGTTGTTAAGCTAGTAACACGGTTGTTAAGTGAATCTGAATTTGCATGCCGGAAGGTTGCAAAAGGGGGATCACGTGACCCCGGGGGGGGGGGGTCACTGCGACCGTCATAAATAGGAATCAGTTGCCAAGCGTCTGAATTTGGATCACGTGACCCTGGGGATGCGGCAACGGCCGTTAAGGATGAAAAAGGGTCATTAAGTCACTTTTTTCAGGGCTGTTGTTACTATGAATGGTCACAAAATGAATGGTTGCAATTTGAGGACTATCTGTATTGGGGGGGTGGGCTTAGCTGTGGGCTTAAAGAAAGGGACACAGATTTGCAAGGTGTAGCCAGATGCACCAAAACTCCAGCCCAAAAGTAATGACACCAAAAGCCACTTCATCGCCATTCACAAGACTTGCAAGGTAAATGAGCGTGGAGCCATCACAGGCTATGGCAGGGGTCTTCAAACTTGGCCCTTTTAGGACTTGTGGACTTCAACTCCCAGGATTCCTCAGCCAGCATGCCTGGCTAAGGAATTCTGGGAGTTGAAGTCCACAAGTCATAAAAGGGCCAAGTTTGAAGACCCCTGCTATAGACTTTAAGAGTGGACTTCAACTTCCAGAATTCCTCAGCCAGCGTGTCGTAAAATGGGGCATAACTCACTTCTCCCTCATGTCTCACTTAGCAACATCAATTCTGGGCTCAGGTTGCGGCCGTTGAGTCGAGGACTACCTGTTATTGAGACACACATTCCGTTATCGGGTTTTTCCCAAAGCGTGAACAAGGTCCCGTTCGCCGAGTTTAAGGGGATAGAAGGCAAAATGTTGCATACTGTGCGAAAGTCCTGCTCAAATTTATAGGCTCCCCCTCCAGTGGCACATAAAGTAGTGTGAAGGCTCGAGAAATGTTTTTCACTGCCCATCTGAATAAAAGCGGGCATGTCATGAGTAGGAAAGCGAATAAAGTGCAGATTGCCTTTACGTCCACACAGCGTAAGGTCCCTTAGCTCCAAGTGGACGTCGCGGATGCCGGTGGATCCGTAGGCGGTGTTCGAGGTCAGGTACTTGCGGATGCTCTTTAAGCTCTCCACTTCCTCCTCCTCCTCCTCCGCGGTGATGTCTTTGGGTTCAAAATAAACCAGCTTCACCAGAGTCCCTCCAATGTCCAAGCCAAACCAAGGAAAAGCTAATGAAGCAAGGGGGGAACAAACAAAGAAAGAAACAGAGGGATTTAAAACACGGTACAGATGTATTTATCGCAACCCAGCCCCCTCAAAAAATTTCTGTCGCTGAGCAAGGCGAGGTTTACTCCATTATTAGGGGACTGGAGGCTAAAGCATATAAGGAACAGCTGCTGGAATTGGGTATGTCCAGTTTCATGAAGAGAAGGACGAGGGGGGGACATGATAGCAGCCTTCCAGTATCTCAGGGGCTGCCATAAAGAAGAGGGAGTCAAGCTATTTTCCAAGGCACCTGAAGGCAGGACAAGAAGCAACGGGTGGAAACTAATCAAGGAGAGAAGCAATCTAGAACTAAGGAGAAACTTCCTGACCCTTAGAACAATTCATCAGTGGAACTACCTTCCTCCAGAAGCGGTGAATGCTCCAACACTGGAAGTTTTTAAGAAGAGACTGGACAGCCATTTGTCCGAAATGGTATAGGGTTTCCTGCCTGAGCAGGGGGTTGGACTAGATGACCTCCAAGGTCCCTTCCAACTTTACTATTATTATTATTATTATTATTATTATTATTATTATTATTATTATTATTATTATTATTATTATTATTATTATTAATTATTATTATTATTATTATTATTTTACGACCTTTTGGGCCACCCTTGTCAAGGGAATCGCTGCGTTTTTCAAGTTAGCAACGCAACCGTTAAGGGACTCGGGCGTCCCGGTGACTTTGCTCGTCGGAACGTCGCAAAAAGGGGATCACGTGACCCCCGGGACACGGCGACCGTCACAAACAGGAGTCAGCTGCTGTGTGAAATTGGATCGCATGACCGTGGGGATGCTGCAATGGTCGTCTTAAGTCTAGAAAGTGGTCGTAAGTCAGGTTTTTTTTTTCAGCACCATTGTACGTTTGAATGGTCACTAAACAAATGGTCGTGAAGCTGAAGATAAAGCTGCACCGGGAGAGTAGAGGACAACAAGAAGGCTAGCTCGTTTCATTAACACGGTAGTGATTTTATGTTGCACCCACCACGTGCTCCCCAAATCCCGTGTGGCCTCAATCCATAGAATGTCCTACTGCTGATATACTCAGAAATGGAACAATAATATATATCCTCTATTTCAACCATAAATCACCCCCCCACACACTTTAATGCAGCTATTTCAACACTTCAAAAAGCACAGACAGAAGAAAATGGAGGATAGGGATAGGGATAGACTAGACTAAAGAATAGAGAACAGAATAGAGTCCATCTTGCATGGACTTGATTGATTACACTGGGGTGGGCAATGAGAGACAGTGGAGGGGGGGGGAAGTAGAACTTAGGGATTTTGGCCCATGATTTTCAGTTCTGGCTCTTCAATGTTGCAATACACTTGATCTCTAATAAAACTATACCTTTCTCAACACATGGAGCCAAGGATCGTTTTTATTGAGAGGTTCAAGTTGTGGGCAGTCTGACAATAAATACACGAAACCATGCAACTAAAGAGCAATTTATGATACCAATTTCTTCAACCCTCTGAGATAGATGGGAAATTATAGATACATGACAGACGATAGTTAGATAGATAATGATGAATGGATAGCTAGATGGAAAGACAAATAGAGATACATGAGAGATGGAAAGATATAGCTAAATGGCTAGATGGATAGACAGACAGATAATGAATGAATGGACGGCAAGATAGAAAAACAAATATAGATATAGCTAGCTAGCTAGCTAGATAGATAGACAGACAGATAAGGACAGACAGATAATGATGGATGGCTGGATGGCTAGATGGCAAGACAAATATTGATAGATGATAAGATGGAAAGATATAGCTAGATAGGCAAATAGACAGACAGGACAGGTAATGATGGATGGCTGATGGGAAGACTAATATAGATAGATGAAAAGATGGACAGATATAGCTAGATAGACAAACAGGACAGACAATGAATGAATGGATGGATGGATGGATGGATGGATGGATGGATAGATAGATAGATAGATAGATAGATAGATAGATAGATAGATAGATAGATAGATAGATAGATAGATAGACAGACAGACAGACAGACAGCAGTAGATGATAGGTTAGATGATAGATAGATAGATAGATAGATAGATAGATAGATAGATAGATAGATAGATAGATAGATAGATAGATAGATAGATAGATAGATATAGATGGATACACAGACAGATAATGATGGATAGATGGACAGATGCTCCAAATTACTAGTCCATGTAAAGAAAAAGCCTAAAACCAAGTATGCTAGTCAGGGCAAACCTTGTATGTATACACACGCACACACACATACATGCATACCGAACACCACACTCCCTTCTGGGATAAATAGCACTTTGCAGAAAGCAGAAAAGGCATAAACACTAATGAGCTAAAAGAAAGTAAAGGCATAAAACAGAAGGCGGGTCTCTTACTCTGACATCTAACTCATCAGGGTCAGGGTCAGAAGAGAGCGAGCCTACCTGGCAGGATTGTTGTGAGTTCCAATGAGGAAGAACCTGATCACCCCACCAGGCCCCGGCCTTCTGCGCCCTGAGGCCGCAGAAGCCTGGAGGACACTCTGGAGGAAGGAGCCCCGAATCTCGCATTGAACCCCCTGATTTTTGCAGCTTGAACCCCATTTGAACTGCAAGCTTGAAAGAAAGATTTCAAAAAATGCACGACGGCTCCGCCCCTTCCCTTCCTGCCCCGCCCACTCGAGCGCGTCCCGCCCGCGCCCTCTAGCGGCCACTCACGGGGGCGGCTCTTGCGGTGGGAATCGAGGCGAGGCCGAGGGGCGGGGCCAACGCGCTCTTTCTCGCGGCCCGCGGCGGCCTCCGCCCTGCTCGGCCCGCCTCCGCGCCGACGGCCGCCTGGGGCCGGTATCCGCCGCCGCCGTTCCTCCGGGGATCCTCCGGCTTCGCTTCCCATCTCCATGGCCGCCGGCGGCGGCTCCTCGTCAGCTTGCCGCTTGCCGCTTCCATTCTGCAGCGGCTCCATCCGCCGCGGCGACAGCAGCCAAAGCGGACACTGCGCCTGCGCCGAAAAGTCTTTTCCTCGCCTTTCCTTTCCTCCCTCAGTGTACCGGGGGGGGCCTTCAGAAACGGCCCAATCAGAAGCGTTCGCCTTTGCGGCGACAGATAAACTAGCCAATAAGAATTAGCGAAGCGTGCGGGGCTGGGATGAAAGAGAAACCCTTCCAATGAGCATCCGTCTGCTTTAATTGAGCGACAAAAGCAAAAAAAAAAAAAAAAGTCCTCGCGCGCAAAGATGTAGTACAGTGGGTTAGGCCTGAAGGGGGCGGGGTGAATAACGGAATCGCCGTAGCCAACCCGCTGCTCCGCAAGGAAGACTGACAGTCTATCTGCCCAATGAAAAGGAAGAATGGTGGTAGAGGCTGGACTTAAGATGATAGCCAGGCCAGGTCTCCATGACTACCTAGCAGGGATGGAAGAAATAAATGCTGATTATTTCTGTTATTGCTATTAGGAAATAAATGCAAGCATATTAATTGATGTCCAAATACATACATATCCCTCTGGGACTGTATGCCATTAGTTTGGCCTTTTTATCTATCTATCTATCTATCTATCTATCTAATCTATATCTATCTATCTATCTATCTATCTATCTATCTATCTATATATATATATATATATATATATATAAAGGCCTAGTATATATATAAAGGTCTAGTATATATATATATACTAGGCCAGTGGTGGCGAACCTATGGCACGGGTGCCAGAGGCGGCACTCAGAGCCCTCTCTGTGGGCACGCGCACCGTCGCCCCAGTCCTAGGCCTTCAGCTGGGTTTTATAAAACCTTTTCGCTTTAGGCCTCTGCCGCCGTGTACAAACAAAAAAGGTTCAATCAGTCAATTTCAACTTCTCGCAGGAAAAAAAAGATCTTGCAACATTGGAATTGATTGATTGAACTTTTTAGTCCCACCCAGTCTGCCGTTACCACCACAGTCATGCCCACCCAATGGGCCACACCCACCCAATGGGCCACACCCACCCAATGGGCCACACCCACCCGGCACCCGACGATGCATAAGTGGGTTTTGGGTTGCAGTTTGGGCACTCGGTCTCTAAAAGGTTCGCCATCACTGTACTAGGCCTTGCAAATCCTTTGCAGCTTCACCTATCAAAAGTATCAGCCTGACTGATATTTAAGATAAGATAACCTTTATTGTCATTTTTTTACTGTGGGCACAACGGCACACATCAAAAATGAAATTTACTTGCCCGCTCTCAAAGTGAAACACATACATGACACACACCTAAACATACTATGTTTCTTCCTCCAGTTTTAAAATTATGCTCACCTTCTTCTAATCCGGCTCCCATTAATACACATTCAGCATGTGAATTGAATTAAATAAGGGGAAAGTATACAGAACAGGCCTCAGGACAGGTAGTCCTCGAGTTAACGACCACAACTGAGCCCAAAATTTAGGTGGCTAAGTGAAACACTTGTGAAGTGAGTTTGCCCCACTTTACGACTTTTCTCGCCGTAGTTGTTAAGTGAATCGTTGCATTTCTTAAGTTACTAAGCGGGTTGCTAAATGCTTCTGGCTTCCCCAGATTGATTTTGCTGACCAGAAGGGGGTTAACGTGACCCTGGGACGCTGCGACCGTCATAAATGTGAGTCAGCCGCCAAGCGTCTGAATTTTGATCACGTGACCCTGAGGATGCTGCAACAGTCATTGTGTAAAAACTCCTAAGTCAAATTATTTCAGTGCCGTCGTAACTTTGAACGGTCACTAAATAAACCATTGTAAGTCGAGGATTAACTGTAACTTTGCAACCGGCCTTGCATTGATAAGCATTTGCAGATCTGCAGAGTAAAGAAATCCGGCAGTCCTATTTTAAACATACTTGAAGCTTCCCTCAGCGGCGGCTTCACATAACACAATTGCAGTACAGGCTGATTGCCAACCATCCAAATTTTGATCACGTCTCTTAAGACATGCTGTGATGGTCATAGGTGCGAGGACTGATTGTAACACATTTTTTGCAGTGCCACTGTCACTTCAAACGGTCGCTAAACGAACAATTGGAAGTCAAGGATTTCAGTACCTCTGGGCAAGTGAAGATTTTCACATGTCAAGTGGTGATCGACTAAAAATCTGGCAACGTATAGCTACTCCTCAACGTATGGCCACAATGGAGGCCTAAAACTATGTCGCTAAATGATAAACTTGTTAAGTGAATTTTGCCCCATTTTGTTACTTTTTTGTTAGGTGAATCACTGCAGTTGTTAAGGGAGTCACATGGTTGTTAAGTGACCTTCTGACTTTGCTTGTCAGAAGGTCACCACGGGATCATGTGACCCCGGGACGCTGCAACCATCATAAATGTGAGTCAGTTGTCAAGCGGCCCGAATGTAAATCACATGACCTCGGGGATGTTGCAATGGTCCTAAGTGCGAAAAATGGTCATAAGTTGTTTTTTTTCAGTGCCGTTGCAACTTCAAACAGCCATTAAGCGAATTACTGTAAGTCGAGGACTACTTGTATTTTATCAGACTTGGTTTCCAACTTTTCCGACAATTCTGACATTCAAGGGTTAACTGCCAGAATAATTAGCTTGACTCCACAGCAAAGTCACTCTTATTACTTCACCGAACTTCCCCTTTGAGTGTTTTAACTTTCAAATCCTTATTTGGGGGGAATTTGCGCAAAACCATTTTCCTGCCGATGCATCTTGGCCACCTCCCCCCTGGATAAAATGCCCTGAAAAACATGCAAACTTCTTTTGCAGGCCAATGAAAATCAAAATATGTGAGAAGAGACATCCTGTGGTTTACAAAATGGCAGAAGTGCGTGCAGTGCCTTACTTCAAAACACAACAAAACAAAACGGGAAGCTGCAAGGATTGAAGACACCATGCAGCTCAAATCAGTGCAACATGCCATGACTTACAGCAACTCGTTTAGGGACGGTTCCAAGTTACAACAGCAGTGGGAAAAAAGGGACTTATGACCGTTTTTCACACGATCTTCGCAGCATCTCCGTGGTCACGTGATCAAAATTCAGACGCTTGGCAACTGGCATGTACTTGTGACGGTTGCAGTGTCCCGGAGTCACGTGATCCCCTTTTGCGACCTTCTGACAAGCAAAGTCAATGGGGAAGCCGGATTCACTTAACAACCAGGTTACTAAATTAACAGCTGCAATGATGCACTTAACAACTGTGGCAAGCGAGGTCGTAAAATGGGACAAAATTCACTTGACAAATGTTCGCTCGCCCCTGGACTACAGCAAAACAAAGTCTGAAGTTTCTCTGAAAAATTGCTACTCAGATATAAATCTGAAGCATTGGAGAGTCTTGCTCCCACCCACCCACCCAAAATTTATCTTATGCAATTTTGCTTATATGGTCACAAGCAACATTAAGTAATCTGGAAATTCAACTGGGATGAATGAAGTAACGACACATTTTTTTTTTTTCAACCAATAACTTTTAATCAGCATGTGAAAGAGTTTGGTGAGCAGGGATTCTCAAGTTCTGTCAAGGGATGTATAGTTTTGCCAGGAACTCTTATCATTCTAGAGCCTAGCGTAGTTTTAAGCAAATAAAAATGAAACTTTTGAGCATATTTTTCTACGCGATGCTCCTTATTTATTTGGGGATGTTTCTGGGCATTTGAAAACTATGTTCTTCCCTTCGTTCTTTCTGCTGGCTAATGGCCGCGAGAAAGTTGATTCGATTCGGGAGTCTCCGTGGTTTAATTTCCCCCCAACGGAAAGAAATAATATAAAGGAACTTGGAACCTGGTTTGACGATCTATCAGAAGTAGATAGAAAACACAACTTTTTTTTAAATAGGGAACAAAATCAGTATGAGCCAACACAGGTACGCAAGTCATGTGAATGGACGCACCCTGATTAATTCCTGGGGAGATGGAGCATAGCTATGGAGGTACACACAACATACTGAATCCGTTTCTTAAACTTGGCAACTTTAAGACATGTTGGCATCAGTTCCCAGAATTCCTAGCCAGCATGCTTCTTGTTTCAAGGAAAGCTTGCTCATGAAGCAGGCAAGAAACTAAGTCTTCGTGTCCCCCCAAATTCTCAGGACGGAAAGAGGGCCCTCTTGGGGTGCCAGGCAGTCCTTGACTTATAACCGTTTAACCAAGGGACGCCACAGCAGACTCATCCCAGCCCATCACCCTTCATTACAGTTGTAAATTGAGGATTCCCTGTCATTTAATGGCTGGGAACAAATGACTTTCCAAAGATCATACATCTTAATCTCCTCTGCAGGAAAAAAGACAACAACAAAAAAACCAGAACGAAGAAATTCCGTTTCCACTGACATCAATGGATAAAATTCCCGAAGGCGGCAATCCGAGTTACAGGCTTCTCCTGTAATTAAGCACTGGTCTACAACAATGGTGGGACTCAAAACAGGTGAACCACCGGTTCTCTGTGTGGATCTCTTATTCGTGGACATCACTCTGAAAGAGGTCCCACTGTTGTAAACTGGAGCCCAGGAGCTCTGCCTGATTCTTAGGCAATTCCAAATCCCTGACCAGGTCGTTTAGTTCGGGGGGTCTCCAACCGTTTTGGGTTGGCAGCCCAGTGGGAAAGGGAGGGGTGGGCACCTTTACGCATGCATGCGCACCCATGCAAATGTGGCTGCATGCGTGCGAACGTGGGCGAGCATGCATGCTCTGCAAATGGGGTTGCTAGCGCCGGTGCGCAGTGCGCGGCTCGGCTAGCGCCATCACGCAAACACTGGCACACGACTCAGCTAGCACCGGCACGCAGCTCGGCTAGCGCCAGCGAGGCTCAGCTACTGCCAGCAAAAGCCTTGCACCTCACCTAGCGCCGGCACGCAGCTCGCAGCTCGGCTAGTGGCTCAGCTACCGCTGGCGCAAGGGGGTGGATGGGCATGCATGCCGGGGCCATGAGCATGCACGCTCTGCAAATGGGGTTGCTAGCGCCTGTGCGCAGCGCACAGCTCCACTCGTGCCAGCACGCAG